GATCTTTTATATAAAAAAACAGTCTTTTTATAATATAGTAATACTCTCATCTCATCTGAAATCTTCATATATGTTGCATTGTAATAAAGTATGATGGCAGAATATGTAGAGAAACTAAACATTTATATTCTTGGACCTTCTGATATTTTACTTTACTGTGATAAAGCATCTATCAGCCTAAAAATTCTTGATGCAAATTCCAAGTACAAGTGGAAGAGGTGGATAAGAACAGATTCCACAAAATTTTTACCAGATAACAAAGCTTTTTTAAATACAAGTCAAGATTATTTCTAATTCTGAAACACCATAAAACACAAAATAACACAGAATAGATCAGATATATTGAATCAAATTAAATAATCTATTTTCTACGTAAACTTAGTTTTTATAAACTAATAATTAGGGTACTGTATCTATACCTTTGAAAATTACATTGGAAAGATTTCCAGTAAAATATTTTAAGTGAAGAGTCAGCAAACACTGGAAGAAGTAACCACAGCTCATGGTATATAATCAGGATGTGGAGACTTCCGATTAACATCTTCATTTTCTCTACCTTTGTCGATGAACACAGACGTGTGCTGCGGATTATGACTTGGGTTTCTTTTTTCCCTTTTTTTTCAGAATGAGCATTGTTTTGACTTTAAATGTGAACACACTTTTGTGGTCCATTACTGATTAAAGAGTGAGAGACAATTTTGTACAAAAAAATATGCATAAATATATAAAATGTATATTTATACATAAATCTATATTATATATAACAATGTATATCTATTAATATATATTTATATATATTTATATATAAAATTATATACATTTAGTATATTAAATATATTAAATATCAATATTCGCATAGGCTTTATTTCTTAAACTGTCCTGTTAATTTCCAGTGCATGAGAACTAGCTGTTAAATAAACAGTAAAATCTTTAAGGTCTGAAGAAAAAAATGTTTACATTGATTAAGAAAGTCACACATTAATGCATGAACCAAAACGTCCTGAGAAATGCCAGAAAAACCTAGGCATGATCTGACCTGTTTAGGTAGGATTAATCTTAAAATTCTTATTAAAAGGCTATAAAAATCACCCATATATTAGTCTTTACCAGAGTAAACCTACTCATTGCACCTGTGCATGTTGTCAACCATTTACTTTTTTTTTTTTTTATTCTACAGTTAACAGCTCACAGATAAAATATCCTTTCCTATCTTAGGTGACAGTATTATCAATATTAAGATTCAACAGAAGAGTGAATACAATATCTGAAAAACCTTTCTTTTACTAGTAGACAGAGTAAGCTTTTATATAAAAGAGGGCATATTAGGAAATTGGTATTCATACGGTAGGGCTCCTGGTAACTATATTTACTCCCACCAATCTCTTCTGCACTTAAATTATGCATTTTTACTAAAAGTGTGGAGTTTTGTCATTTACTTGTAGTAATCCAAAGCTTTATTTCATCAGTAATGAAGTCTCTTATTACACTTCCAATGTCACCTAGAGAGGAAGATTTCTTAAGAGTGAGTAAAGCAGCTGTTGTCTAGTAGGGAGGAAAATCGAAGACCTGACACTTGGCAGCTACAAATTTGTATACAGTTTAATAGCTGAAAGGCTGTGTACAAGAAAACTGCAGGCTGCTGACTTCCTGGGCCCAGCACACTTAGGTGTTGTAAATTATTGTGGCTTAATCAAAAAGGGATTCTTCATTTTTCATAGTAATAATTTTTTAAAGGTGCCTATTGTTTCCTTAGTCCGGTCACGAATCCTAGTTTCCAAAGTTCTTCAGCTTTACTGAATGTCAGATATATAAACAGTTCGTACATATATATATATATATATATATATATATACATACATACTTCTTTTGAGTTCATCACAAAAACACAATTCCAGTTTAAATAAATAGCACCTGAAGAGGATGCCTAGAATAATGTTTAGTAAGTATAGGAAAAGAAATGTTGACGGGTATCTTGAGGAAACCATGGTATCTACTGTGGTTTTGACAAAGTTGCAGAGAGGATTAGTTGCTTGAATTCAAAATACTTAAAAATAAAATCAGTGTACAAACACTTTCATTTATATGAAGCATGCTGCTTCTAGCTGTTGTTAATAAATCATGTCTTCACACTTGGATCAACTTCACTTTGTTACCAGGGTGGATAAACAGATGAACAAAGCCCAGATATGAAGTAGAGCTTAATTATTCAATCCTTTAATCTTCCCCAATACCAGTAGGTGATAAATTTTAATGACAGTATAAAAAAAACATCTATTGCCTATAGTCTCTTACCATAGTAGGAAAATTCTGGGGGTCTTACTCAAATGAAAACATACTTTTGTTACTAGTAAATGAGTGTGAAGTAGGAGAGAAGCATGGTACCTTTATTAGTGTCATTATTTTTCACTTAAGCTGTAAAACTTTCCTGAAATCAGTGGATTTCCACAAGGCAGATGAAATCAACACAAAATCTCAAAAAAAGCACCATAAAGTAATGTGTAATATTAAACCCAGAGAATTCTTTTAATATACAGTAAATCTTACAACATTACACTTATTTTGGTTACTTTAGTCTCAGGAGTGACTAGCATGATATCTACCAATGACCTGATTTAGTCAGTAATGGAAAATGATTATGATTATTATCAGCTTCCCCCTTTTCTTAGGTGTTCTAACAGTGTATTAGGACTTCGACTTTTGAAAATTGTTGTTAAAATTGTTTAAAAATCTTTATTGCTAGTCTTTTTATATATCTACGATTCATTTGTAAAACTGTTGTAATTTAACCCCAGCAGGCAACTGAACACTACACAGCTTCTCACTCACTTTACCCCCCACCACCCCCCCCAGTGGGATGGGAAAGAAACTGAAGGCTTAAAGTGAGAAGACTCATGGGATGAGATAAAGACAGTTTAATAGGCAAAGCAAAAGCCACACAAACAAACAAAACAAAACAAGGAACTGTTTCACCACTTCCCATTGGCAGGAAGAAGTTCAGCCATCTCCAGGAAAGCAGGGTTCCGCTACATCTAAAGTTACTTGGGAAGACAAGTAACTTCACTCAGAACATCCCCCCTTTCCTTTTTTCCCAGCTTTATATGCTGAGCATGAATCCATATGGTATGGAATGCCCCTTTGGTCAGTTGGGATCAGCTGTCCCTGCTGTGTACCCTCCTTGCTCCTTGTGCACTCCCAGCCTACTCACTGGTCAGATGGTGAGGAGCAGGAAAGTCCTTGACTCTGGGTAAGCGCTGTTCAGCAGTAACTAAAACACCCCACAATTATGAACAGTGTTTTCCACACAAATCCAAAGCATAACCCCCTACTAGCTCCAATGAAAGCAATTACCTCTATCCCAACCAAAACAAGCAGAAAATGAAATAGCAAGCATCTGTCAATGACAAATAATTTATGTCTTCTATCTACTTATCTATATTATCCTGTTGCCAAAAATTATAATGAATAACCTTGCCCTAGTGAACATTGCACTAGTATTTTCCTATAAGTGCATCTTAGTATCCTAAAGGGAACTGGTTGTGAGAAAATGCAAGAAAATCTTGGACAGCTTATAACTTTTGCAATTAACTTGACAGTAACTAATTGCAACCAAAGGTTGTTACAGAGGCTTCCTGCTAGGAAGTCTAAATGGTGTACATAAAGTAGATAAATAATGTGATGTATAAACGAAGGAAAAAGAAACTACACTCATGTACTGAAGTGATGACAGCTATGAAACTACCTAGAGAGATGACGGAGAGAAGGGTCATTCTTCTCTGTCATGAAGTAATCACCTGCTACTCAGTAGGCACAATCAAAACAGCAACATCATTTCCACTCAATGCAAATTCTCCTCTGGGTTTTGCATACGCTTTAGCGTATGCATGTCCTGGTTTGGGGACTTTTTGTCATTCTCATTTTTCATGTACTGGATTTTCAATACATTGCCCTTACTTTCTCATTCACTATAAACTTTCTTATCGTGCTGTTTAGACATAAAGGTGGTCAATATATTGCTAGTCTTAGACACTGCATCCAGTCACTCACTGGGGATGTTTCAGATGTCCATCATTTATAGTAGGTGTGATATTTATATTGTAGGTCTGCAACACTAATATGTGCAGCAAACTTTGCCATTTTTCCGCTGAAAAAAGAAAATATCGGATTTTTCTGTATGCCACATTTTTAATTGCAGATAAGTACATGTTTTCTGACTTACATGATGCTTTGGCTGTAGCACAAAATTATCATACAGCACTCACCTTCTAATAAAAGAAAATTCAAAAATGTGAATCTTAGAAGGCTAAGACCCTTCATTCAAATATAGAGCCTATAGTTAAGTGACAGAATTCAGACTCTTGATATCAAGACAGTGATTTTCTGCCTGGCACTTCTATTTTTTCCACTTTTCAAATCCATGCCTCCTCAGATGTGTTTCACAAGGTGTCTCACTAACACTCACTGTGTTTCATACTAAACAGGTGAAAGCATACAACATGTATTTAAGAATATTACAATGGCAAAATCACCTGAGTAACACACAAAAGTATTTCCACTTGAATCTTTAAAAAGTTCGTCAGGCATCACCTGCTTTACAGAGGTAGATTGATTACTGTAATGCCAAGGAAAAAAAAGGTTTGCATCGAAGCAATCCTCCCCACTGTCGTGGAAAGGAGCGGAATTGCATTGGCTTCTCAGTTTTAACATACTTGGTTCAGGTGCCCTGGCGCTGGCAGCGTGGGCTGCAGGGCGGTCTCTGTGAGGAGAGGGCTGGGCTGACCCGTGCCGGACACAACCGGTTCCACAGGGCATGGCTGAACACCTGTCCTGGGTTTAGCAGTGGCAGTCATTTTTTCTCTTTCTTGGTAGCTGGTGCAGTGCTGTGTTTTGACTTTCGGGCTGGGAACAGAGCTGAAAAAAATGTTTTGGTTTGGCCAAGGACTTTGTGAGCCTCATGCTCTGCCAGGGAGGAGGGAAGCCGGGAGGAAGCAGAGACAGGACACCTGACCCAAATTGACCAAAGAGGTTATTCCATACCACGGCACGTCATGCACAGGAGGTGACTGGGAGAGTTACCCAGAAGGGCTAGGGTGGACTGCAGGGGTGGAGGAGGTATCAGTCGGTGCTTGGTCAGGCTGGGGGGGCAAGTTTTCTGTCGGTTGGTGATGAGGTGTTGTATTCTCTTCCCTTGTTATTTCCTTTATCATTTCTATTATTGGTGGCAGCAGTAGTGATTTGTGTTATACCTTAGTTACTAAACTGTTCTTATCTCAACCTGTGGGAGTTGCATTTCTTTTTGATTCTCCTCTCCATTCCCCTAGGAGTAGGGGGAGGGCAAGAAGGGGGGGAAGTGGGTAACAAGCTGTCTGGCTGGGTTTAAACCATGACAACACCGCATACAGAAGAGGGTGTTGCCGTATGGAAAATGTGTTTAAGACGCCGTAATAAAAAAAAATGATCGAAACAAAACAGAGCAGATAGCACACTGCAGCCTGGAGAGAGCTCATCCTGCAGCAGGGGGAAGTGTGAGGAGGAAGGAGGACAAGAGAGGAGCTGTTGGGGACTGACTGCAGCTCCCATTCATGGTCACCCAGTGCTGCTGGTGTGGTGGAAGCTAAGAAAGCCAGGAGTGAAGTTGAGCTTGGAAAAAAAATGGGATGAGAGGGGCTGGCAGTGGGGCAGGTGTTTGTTCCGGGGTGGTTTTTTTTGTTTGTTTGGGTTTGTGTTGTTTTTTGTTTTTTTTTTTTTTGGGTTTTTGGTGTTTGGTTTTTTTTGTTGTTGTTGGTTTTTGTTTGGTTTTTTTTTTTCGGGTGGGGGGGGTGTTTGTGGTTTTTTTTCCCCCCTACTGTCCATCTCTATTTTATTCTACCGTAAATTAATTTTCCCCAAGCCAAGTCTGTTTTGCCTGTGATTGTAATCTGCTAGTTTCTTGTCCTTATCTCCCTGCATTTGCCTTTTCATCTTACTTTCTCCCCCTATTCTACTGAGGAGCAGTGAGACAGCAGCTGGGTGTCTAGCTGCTGCCCAAGGTCGATATATCGCATTTAGTCATTCAGCCTGGATTTCAAATGAATTCTCCTGAAACTTTGAAAATGTGGGTGTCCCGTCTACCCGTGACAGGGGGAGCTGATCATGTACTTAACTGTTAGGACAAACCACAGGCCCTCCAGAAGTTGGAACAGGCAACAACCATTAATTTTATTGTAAACGTCCCTAAAACTGTGTCAAGGGGAATAGAAGTCCTTGTAAGTTCTTAGGAAAGATTGAAGAGGAGGGAGAAAGGCAGAAAGAAAGTAAAGAAGGAATTAAAGCAAGAAAAGAAAAAGAAAACAAGAAACATCCTTACCACCTTGTGGATCTAGCGGTGTTGTCGGTCAGCGAGTGGAAATCATTTCAGTTCGTCCTTTGTGGTCTTTTCAGTCCTTGTAGTCCGTCTACTGTGGTCCAGGGTGGAGGGGTACGCTACAAGGCTATAGGACGGTTGTTTTTTTCTGGAGTCAGATTCTTTTGGAATCCTCCCACAAGTGATGAATTGATGAATCGTTCTCAGCGGAGCTGGTGAGACCCCAGGCTAGTTACCTTCGTGTCCTAGTAGGAGATGCAGTGTTTGTGCGACTGTCTGCAGGCAGTTACGTTCGTGGCTTTGGGGCAGACAACACAGGAGAACCATCCCCCTCCTTCGTGGGACAGTATCTTCTGCTCTGTGCCGTTTGCCCAAACGATAACGAGCTGTCATTTCCTTCTATCTTTAGAGTTGAGACAAAACCCGAAAGGCTCTCTTGATCATCACAGTAAGTTTAAGAAATTTCCATTTAACAATTTAAATACCTTCGAATGTGGAGTTTCTGAAAACATATGTTAATGCCCCAGAAAACCTGGTATCACACTTGTCTAGGTCCTATCTGTGAGCTGTGTGGAAAAAACCTGGGCAACCTAGGGCTTCTAAAGTAACACTAGTTGCCTGTGTTCATGCATTGGACTACAGCCTTTGGGTGGGAATTTAGGTCCAAATTGTCTACAGAGTGATAGGTTTTTAGACTCCTTCACAGTCAATGAAGATCTGGTTGTTACAGTCAGTGCAATACAGTCTAGTTGTCTAAGTAACGAGAGGACTCCACTGGTTAACTGTACTAAGAACTTAAACATGACATTTCAGACTCAGATCATTCACCTACATCTAGGTACCTAATTTCAACTTTATTAGGATGATTAGGACATTTCTACAGGGGTGAACATACAACACAGGAACAATGAGAGACCCATTTTCTCCTTGACCAGCATCTAGAAAGCGAGGATATATTCTAGCAGCTTACATGGCAATCCTTGTTTACATTTAGGCAGGTGAAGCTCGTAAGCAGACACCTACATTAAGATGTTTACAGCTGTAGTTCTGGCCAACACTGGACTAACAGCAAATTCCTTTTGTCCCTGAAGTTTCTCCTGGAATTAGAGAGGAAAGAGGTGAACCTCTAAGCCTAATTTTAATCTTGCCACTATCAAAAACTGAACACAAAAAAGCACTGATATACACTGAAATTATTTATTAGTGAATTAGTAGACAGCTAAGATGGAGTATTACCAGTGATAATATTCTGAGACTATGCTAACTTTTTAAAATGTCTGACATTTACAATACATTTTTTTAATTTAGGACATAGGACAGATATATGTACCTTAGGTAGACACCGAAGGCTCATTTTATGGTTAATGAGGAAAATCTTTCATAAAGAACATTTATTATATTCTTACGCATTTAACATTATGATATTAACAGTATGATATAGGTAAATTATACTTTAAAAATGCCTATTTCAGTTCAGAAGCTCTAACCAGAAACCTAAGGATATCACCTAAGGCATGCACATTAACATAACAGGTTACTAAAGTTAGGTGAGGGTTTCCTTCAGAAATTACCATTATAGTGGATTGATGGCAGTGTGCATAGCTTAATGTTGAAATCTGAAATCTCTAATCATTGCATCAGATTCTAGCTCTTTCATTTCTTTTGTTCAGATAATTCTAGAGAAACCTCTGAAATGTAACATTGATGTTACGTGTTATTTTTGCTTTAGCAGAAATGCATTTCTTTATGCAAGTTGATATTGGAGACAAGAATTGTAAACAAAACAATGAGGCACAAAGGTGAAATATAAATGATGATAAAATTTATACCAAATCAATAATAATACACAATTAGCTATTTTAATTTTTAAATTGCTGGTATTTCTAGTAGTAAGGCAAAAGACTGAAACCATGGACAAATATAGGAAAAAACTCCTTCTGTGATCATTTAAATACCCGTACAGCTGATTCATAGTTAAATGCATATACTTTCAGTTGGAACAAGAAATGTTCTATTTTGACATTTTAAAACCAATAATATAGCACATATCAACACAGATGTTCAAGGTCCAGCGTTTGCTAGGGAAAACCTACCAATTCTATAAGGTATATTTTTGCCATGTGAGATTGTTTCCTTTTCAGTTAATTTTTAAAATATTAAGTAAATTATAATTAAGAATGCAATGGTCTTTTGCAAACTTATAACAATAGCTTACAATATATTATGCCATGATTAGCTAAAGTGAAAAGAATAAAATCCACTGTGAATAAAAATGTTTATATAGCAAAAGTAGTCATCTTTATGGCCAGTTGTACATAGTTCAAGATTTTTCAGTATCTGAAGGAGAGTTAAATATAGTGGCACCGTTGGTTTTTTTTAAAGAATCACAATTACTATAGTTAATTACAACATTTACAGACATATTTCAACTGTCAAGTTTTAATGAAGTCAGTTTAGAAATTAGCTTAAAAAGACCAGGTAGCAAAAAATTACTTTGGAACTGAATGTATTTCAACCTTAATATAAGAGAATGGTGTTTCTTTATTTAGAATACACTACATATACAATTTAAAGTTAAAATGTTTCTAAGTTTTGCATTAAACATCAAAATTAACAGAGCTTGTAACAATAATTCAAGCTATTACATTGTCTTGGGCTCTTTTCACTGTTTTGAATGACACTGAGAGTGTCAATACAGGTGACTGCATCTCAAGCACAGCAGTTGCTGTTCGCTCTGAACAAAAGAAATATTTTTTGTGACTTCAGAAATAACATAAAACAAGGAGATAAATATTGGTTTATACATGGAACAACCTGTCCCTGTCTACACTGAATACGTATTTGGCAATAAAGAAATACTTCTCAAATCACAAAATATATTCTGCAACGCTACATATGCAAAATGCTTCACCTTTCTGATTCAATCAAGGATGTGGTTCATTGCATTAGTGCTGCCTCACTGAAAAGTAAGAGTGTGAAGAAATATGATCTGGTTTGCCTTGCATAACTATTTTCTAAATACTTCATGGAGGTATTCAAGTATTTCTGGAAGTTCTAGTCAGCTGGACATGTGCAACCATTAGGAAATGTTTGCCATTCCATGCCTTGCCATTCCCTGCCTTGCGTTCTCTTGAGAATGGCACATTCTGAAAAGCTAGGTGGCCAATGAGGCAAAGAGTGCCAGTGGTTATGGCAACTATCCAAACACACAAGGCTATGAGGTTTAGGTTATTTTGAGCCTGATGGGAACAGTTTGCCTGTTGCAGGGGATTAAGGTATGCTACCAGTACATTGCTGTGTTCTAGGAAATTTTTTGGTTGCTTGAGGAACTCTTACTTTGAGCCTGTGAAGCAAATTACAGAATGGTCTGAGCTAACTTTAACATTATGCAAAGTATGTTAAAATGGTAAAGCACTTGCTGTGGTGCCCTGTTCCATAAAATTATTACTGCTTTGGTAAGCAGAGACCTGGAGATTGTCCTCTTTCTTTCAGATTACTGCTAACTCCAAGTGACTTAAAACAGGTCAGAAATACTAGTGTTGCCCACATCCAGAATAGATAAAAATCAATATATTTATGGTAAAAAATGTTGCTGATTATGCAAATAGAAGAAATTGAAGACTTAAGCTATTTATACCAAGACTAAATCTGACTTTCCTTTTTGTCCAAATATCTGCTCTATTAGCCCTGACCAGAAAGTCTTTGTTCTACGAGAACAAA